GATGCTGCAATTGCAGTCCCAGGCTGGTTGCTCCATCAACGGCAGAGGTGGACAGAGAGGGCCGGGTGCGCCTCAAGGTTGGGATCTCCTGAGAAGGGTTGGAGTCAGTTGGAAACTCCCGCCGCCTCCACTCCAGCTTAGCAAAGTTAGGTGTCTGGAGGAACAGAGGAGCTCCAGTGGGGATAAGCCCCCAGCCCTTCAGGAAGCCGGGCTTTGTCTTAGTGACTGCAGGAGGTAGGACCCCTGGCACTCAGGCTGGTGGGCTGACCAGCCTTCCCTCGGGTCCCCTGGGCTGTGCTGACTTGGGAAGGGGGGATGAGACCGGGAGTGGTGATCTGCTGAGTCAGTGTGACTAGCCAGGAACAGCCACTCCGGGTTATTTTTAAAGTTGGTGGCTTCCTTCTGAGGCCGCCCCTCCCGCTTGGCTGGCCTTCTGATCTCCCCCTGCCCCTGTTCCTGCCTCTCTCATAACCCTTTGGTCCCAAAGGGCAGGGCTCACAGGGAGCAGTCCCGCCCCCGCCCCCCCAGGCCCAGGCCCACTGCAGGCCTGGCAGGGGGTCAGGTAGGGGGACATGGGCAGGCTGGCCTGGGAAATCAAGCCCTGATCTCTGCCCTGTGTCTTGTAGAGAGAGTCTGCTTGCTGTTTTCCCCGGGTTATGACGACCCCCAATAAAGGAAGTAAGGCCTTGAAGGTGAGTCAGGGGGAGGAGGACATCGGGGGCGTGGGGGCTGGTGGGGGCGGGGGTGCTGCCCTGACTGCACACCATGCCCCAGGTGAAGCGGGAGCCCGGCGAGAATGGCACCAGCCTGACTGACGAGGAGCTGGTGAGCATGTCGGTGCGCGAGCTGAACCAGCACCTGCGCGGCCTCTCCAAGGAGGAGATCATCCAGCTGAAGCAGCGCCGGCGCACACTCAAGAATCGCGGCTACGCGGCCAGCTGCCGCGTCAAGCGGGTGACCCAGAAGGAGGAGCTAGAGAAGCAGAAGGCGGAGCTTCAGCAGGAGGTGGAGAAGCTGGCGTCGGAAAACGCCAGCATGAAGCTGGAGCTCGACGCCCTGCGCTCCAAGTATGAGGCCCTACAGAACTTCGCCAGGACCGTGGCCCGCAGCCCCGTGGCGCCGGCTCGGGGTCCCCTCACCGCCGGCCTGGGGCCCCTCGTCCCCGGCAAGGTGGCCGCCACCAGTGTTATCACAATCGTCAAGTCCAAGACGGACGCCCGGTCGTAGGGATGCGCGCTCGTGGGGGGGTCGGCAGCCCTGCCCCCCTTTCTCCCCTGCCCTTCCTGCTCCCCCTGCCCCCACAAAGCACAACCTCCACCGGGCGCCCGCCTCGCAGAGCCCCTTTGATTTCGTCTTGTTGTCGTGTGTCTCGTATGTTGGGATTGGTCCGTTTGGCGGTGGCTGGGTCACCCCTTGCCCCCTTGTACCAAGGCCATAAGGGGCCTAGCGTGTGTGCCCGTGAGGATGGACAAGGGAGCCGGAAAGGGGTGGGATTCTTGTGCCCCTGAGCAGGGGACTGGAGGGGGCCCGCTCAATTCCTTCTGACAGACACGGAGGGCAGCTTGGCCCTGTTCTGAGGAGCAGGTGCCCCCTTGGCGGCTAGGGGCCATGGGTGCAGCGTGGGCCTAACGCATTGCACTGAACAAGACCAAGGTCACTGGTTGTGCGTCTGTGAAGGCTGTATCCACTGTGTCCTCGCGACGGGTCCGTTGTCACTGTTTACATGATCAACTTGTGTGGTTAGATAGCGCTTGACTTAAAGGAGAGTCCACTCCTTTTACGAAGTTATTAAATTATATGTTTAAAAGCTAAAGAAGATGAAAAAAAAAATGCAGAGTATTTATAAAACTGTCTTTTTAAAAAAAAAAATTAAAAAGCAAGAACATTTGACCCTATCCTTGGAAAAGGGAAGAAAGTGTAATAGAACCTTTGCTAGTTTAAAAAAAGAAAAAACACAAAGTCCTTTCTTGTAAACTTCTGGAGAACTCTTTGTGGCTGTTGGAGTTTAGTTTTTATATACACAGAGTTATCAGACGTTATTTATAAAATTTAGTTTAAAAAAAGATGGGAAAAAAAAAAAAAAAAAAAACCGCAAAACCCCCCTCTGTTCCCTAACGTCCCCTTTGATATCTCTTTTGCAATTGTACCGAAAGTGACTTACGCCTTGCCCTTTCTGCTTCCGTCTCTTGCCGGTGCCGTGGTTTTTGTCGTGCCTGGTGAGGTCTTGTGCGGCCGTAATGTGCTGGTGCTTCTGGTGACCTTTGACCTGTGGGTGTCACTTCTCGTGTCTGCTCGTGTTTGTTTTTTGGGATTTGATTGTGTTCTTGTTCCTGCTGGCTGGCTGGCTAGGCCAGGGCGCCAGGCAGTGCGGCCTCCCATCCCTCCAGAGATGCCCTGTGTCCCTGGGTAGCCCACCCCTGCTCTGAGTGTATGTTGGATGCGGATGATGAGCTCAGTCCTTGCTGTCTCTGCTGACTCTTGGCTATGTGCGTGTGTGGATGCATGCATCTGGCACTTGAGCTGGACCAGTGGCGGGACAACTGGAACTGGGGGCTTCCTGGTATGCCTCTAGTCTTGCGCTGCTCCGGCAGGGACCCAAGAGTCACTGTGGGTCTCGGCCCAACCATGCTGGCTGTCTTCCTCATTGCCTCCCAGCCATCGGTGTGGGCTGGGCCTCAGCTTGTGGCCCACACTGGGGGCTGTGACCCCCACCGCCCACTTGTCCAAGAAGGGTTTCAGAGCTGGGGTGGTGCTTCCCCAGGAGTAGGACTGGGCCCACCTGAGGTGGCCCCTTCTTCCATATTCCTGCCTCACCGCCAGGGCCTGTGGAGGTCTCCAGCAGTGCCAGCAAGGGCTACGACCTCCACCACTGGGCCTCTCATCCCCCTCTCCCTGCACAGGCCGGCGGCTCTCAGCTCCAAGCCTTCTTCCACCTCTGAGATCCGTGTCTTCCAGAAATAGGCTCCTGGGCGCTCAGAGGGACTTCTTTCCGGAGCTGAGTCACCTCCCCATCCTTGGAGGGGAGTGTCAGGGCAGCCCCCAGAGAACACAGGTACACAGACTGATGGACAGAGCGACCGCTCTCTTGTTGCAGTTATGCATGGGTGTGACCTCTGGGGTACCACCTGACTGGCCTACAGTTGGCTCGGTGACTCTAAGTCCCTCAGTTTGAACTGAGACATGAGCCAGAAAGAGTGCTCATGACCTGTGTTAAAGCAGGCCAGGCCTTCGTGTCCTCGCTGTGTTCTCGCTTCTGGCCCTCCGAGCAGGCTCACCACTCATGACGCGTGTTAAGGCCCTCGTGTCCTCGTTGTGTTCTCACTTCTGGTCCTCTGAACAGGCTCACCGTCCATTTGCAGTACCTGCACTGAGGGCAGACTGCGAGCTTGGAGAGTAGAGGCAGGGAGTCGGCTCCATGGGGCCGGGCGGCAGGTGCGGGGGCCTTCTCGGCAGGCAGAAGCTGCTCGCAGTGAGAGGCATGACAGGCATGACAAGGCGGTCGTGATCTTGTCACGTGTGGATTAGCACTGCTGGCCTCCAGGTCTGAGGGAGCCCCCCTCTGCCCCTTCTCAGTTTCTCAGCAGTAGATCTGTGTCTCCCTGTGTCTGTTTGGTGTCTTTCCGTTGCTCCCGTTTTCCTGCCGTGAGGGTGTTGTGTTCTATTTCTTTATTGCCCTCCTGAACTTTTCTGACACAGCGTGTCGAGGCTTGGGCTAAGGCCAAGTCTCCCAAACTTGTCCGCGACGTAAACCATGATACGTGTCTTCCTCTGGCCCTGATCTGCCCCCGTTCTTCCCGCTTCCCAACACGGACACTCGGGTTTCAGAGAACAAGCCGGCAGTAACAGGTCAGCTCTGCTCAAAGCATCCGGCCCCAGCTGCTGCTCTGTGGAAGCTGTGTGAGGCACTGGTATGTGTGCCAGGCACCTCGCAGAGGCTGCATCTGTGCACACCTGTCTGTGCTGCATCCTCTGGTGTTGGTGCCAGGCCACTGCTCTCATCTGTCACAACCTGCTCTGGCATAGCTGGTCAGGTTGTCTTGTCCCTCCCTTTCTGGAGTGGCCACAGCTGAGACTTCGAGCCAGAGCCTGCAGTACTGTTTCCGCTCTGGGATCTTGTGCGTTTTTATTTTAGGCTGTGGTTTGGTGGAAGGAACCAACATGTTAACGATTTTCCCTCCAGAAACCACTGAATAATTCTTTTTGGCGCTTTTTCCCCATTCTGCTGGCTGTCAGTGGTTTGGGAGCAGATGGGGAGAACCCAGAACAAGCTTGGTGCCACTCTGAGGCAGAGGGGGTGCTTGTAGGATGGCCCACAGTCTGTCCTGCAGTGTGTGTGTGTATGTGTGTGTCTGTCTGTCTGTCTGCGCGCACGCGCACGGCCTGGGTGTCGGCCACACCTGTGTGGGTCACCGAACCCTCCACCCACCCCCTGGAGCAGCAGCCTCCACACTTGGGTGCCCTACTGGTCTAAACCCTGTGGAATGTGAGATCTCCCTGTTTCCAGTGACCCCAGTGGGCTTTGCCCCCACCTCCTCTCCATTCCTCATCCTGCTTAGCCCCGGAAGCCTTTAAGCAAACGGGAGTGGGTACAGAAAGCTGCTCCTGGCAACTTGGGGCACCAGGATAAGGGCTGCCCGGAGTCCTGTCTGCAGCCCTCGTGGCGCCCATCAGACCTAGGGCAGCGGCCGGGCAGCGGGGGGCAGAGGGGTGGCCTCCGGGCCCCACCCGCCCCGCGCAGTATTTATTGCTAAATTATTGTCCAGGAGGGGCGGCGCTGGGCCGGGCCCCCCGGGTATTTATTGCTGTACATAGTGTATGTTTGTGATATATAAGGTTTTCTTTATTTTGTATATGATCAATAAACACCTTTTAAAGAGACTTCACAGGTGCTTCTTTGAGGAGCGGTCGGAAGGGGCGGGCGGGCGGGGCGGGGCGGCGCCGGAAGGGTGGGGCCTATCGTGCGCATGCGCCCGGCCGACCGGCTGCCGGGGAAGCGGAAGCGGAAGCGCGGGCGCCGGGAGCGATGGCAGCCGGTGGCCTGAGTCGCTCGGAGCGCAAGGCGGCGGAACGCGTCCGGAGGCTGCGGGAAGAGCAGCAGCGGGAGCACCTCCGTCAGGTAGGCCGTCTTCCGCGCCCCGCCGGAACCCGGCTCCGCTCGCCCCTCACCGCTCGCTCGCCCGCCCGCAGGTGTCCCGCATCCTGAGGAAGGCGGCTGCCGAGCGCAGCGTGGAGGAGGGCCGGCTGCTGGCTGAGAGCGAGGACCTGGTAACTGAGCTGCAAGGCCGGAGCCGGCGACGCGAAGGCCTGAAGCGGCGCCAGGAGGAGGCGAGTCCCGCGGGCCGGCCGAACTGGGCGGGGTGGCAGCAGGTGTGGGTAGCTGGGAGGCGAGCTCCCCGGTGTCCAGGGCGCTGTGCCCGTTCCGAGGGAGGCTCGGTGGCATTCAGCCGGAGCTGTCATCTGCCCAGGATTGCTCCACCCCACTTTGGAACGTCCGGGGGATGGGAGGTAGGAACGAAGGATGGGCTTGTGACCAGCCTCGGCTCTTCCCAGGTGTGCGACGACCCGGAGGAGCTGCGGAGGAAAGTTCAGGAGCTGGCCAGCGCCGTCAGGAACGCTAAATATTTGGTGGTCTACACAGGCGCGGGCATCAGCACGGTACGGAGGCCCCGGGCTGCGCCCTCCGAATCCTCGCAGACAAATGGAGAGGGTGCTCCATGAGTTACGTGGCTGCTGGCCCCCCGGGGTGGCCGTGGGGCGCCCTCTTCTGGGTGGAGGCACCCCAGTCCCAAGAGAGCCTGTCTCAAAGGTGTTTTCATTTCTTGTGAGAAACACATCCGGCCCTTTTGGACAAGGAGCTGAAAGATCCCTAAAGGGGTCCTGGTGGCGCCGTGGGTTAAGCAGTGGGCTGCTAGCTGAGAACGATGAAGCTAGCTGCTCCTTTCTCCTATAAAGAGTCACCACCTCTGAAACCCAGGGCAGGTCCGGCCATGAAGGTCACTAGGAACCGGAATCAAGTCTTTAACAACGGTTTTTTGGTTTATAAAATGTCATCTCCTAACACTTCTAAAGATGCTTGAACTCGGTTACTACAGTTAAAGATAAGGCAGAGGGGGGACACTGGACCTCCCCCTTTAGTGCCTGCGGTCACCTCATTGGGAGGGAAGGAGGCTCGCCGTTTGGCCCCCAGTTACTAGTTCGAAGCCAGGTCTACAACTGCTTTCTGAGTCCTGATTCCTTGTAGGTCCCACACATTGGAGGAAGGTAACTAGAGAGTCAGGCAGCAAGAACTTGAGTCACATCAAGTTTGGGGACGCTTTACAGAAGTGCTTGCAAGTGGGACTGGCACATTCTCCATGGTCACGTGTGGAATGTCGGTCACACGGGGCCGCACAGATATGCCACCAGTGAGTCCTGTTCCAGAGAAACCTGTTGTTAACGATGACAAGGTGCAGAAGCAGAGCCAGTGAGGCTGCGTGTGCAAGGTTGCAGTGACAAATCCAGGCTCTGTGCTCAGTAGGACCAGGAAGTAGGGAAACTTGATTCAGGCTGGCTTCTGGGGGGAGCTGGCCTGGAAGCAGGGCCCCGTAGGGAGAACGTAGAAGGCACTCATCGTTCCAATCTGGCCGTTTGAAGAGCAGTCAGTGACCTTGATCGCCACCTGCTGCTCATTAATTTGCCAAGCAGACAGGTCCCTCAGCCCGAGAGCACCTGAATCCTCATCTCTCAGATTGGCTGCTTTCCTGGGACAGGAGCTTGGGAGATGATGTATGTAGACTTGGCTCTGAGAAAGTGGGGCAGGATTCTCAGTTATCAGGGTACAGAAGAGCTTGGGTTCTACGCCTGCCCAGCCCAGCCCTGAACGATACATCCTGGAAGGGCTGGGTGCTGAGAGGAAGGGACAAGCCAGGAAAGTCAGGCGTGGGGGCAGGGGGCGGGTGGTCCTGCGCCAACCCAGAGTGAGGCAGGAGTTCTCACGTGTTCATTCGGTAAGACCCTGTCTCCAGGTTTTTCTCCTTTCTTAACAAGCAGGCAGCTTCCATTCCAGATTACCGGGGCCCCAATGGAGTGTGGACGCTGCTGCAGAAAGGCAGGAATGTCAGGTAGCTGGCCTCTTCCCATCTGCCCACCCCGGGACTGCCACACTGAGGGGGCAGGGGCTGGCAAGGAGTCCAACCCCACAGCGCCCTCACCACCTCCCTATTTCCGGCAGTACCACTGACTTGAGTGAGGCCAACCCGACCCTCACCCACATGAGCATCACCCGTCTGCACGAGCAGAAGCTGGTAAGCACCACATGGGAGCCCAGGGCGGAAGGAGGCTGTGCACAGGCAGCACATGGAGGGATCTGAGATCCCGTGTGACCCCAGCCTACCTCTCCAGGGCCCTGAGGCCCTTCCTAGCCAAGAGAGGAGCTGCCTCCACCAAGTATCTCACCCCTCCAGGTCCCTGTCCTGTTCCAGCGCCCCTCAGGTGTAAGTTCCCTTGTCCTCTCCCCAAAGTACCCCTTGTCACCCTGCCAGGTACAGCATGTGGTGTCTCAGAACTGTGATGGGCTCCACGTGCGGAGTGGGCTGCCACGCACGGCCATCTCAGAGCTACACGGGAACATGTACATCGAGGTACGGGACCTGGAGGGAGGGGGGCAGGCTTACCACTCAATGGGCTACCTCACTTTTCGTGGCGCTCCCCTCTCACAGAACCCATCCCCCAGGTCTGCACCTCCTGCACCCCCAACCAGGAGTACGTGAGGGTGTTTGACGTGACGGAGCGCACAGCCCTGCACCGGCACCAGACGGGCCGGGCTTGCCACAGGTGTGGGGCCCAGCTCCGCGACACCATCGTGCACTTCGGGGAGCGGGGCACGCTGGGGCAGCCGCTGAACTGGGAGGCAGCCACCTCAGCTGCCAGCAAAGCAGATACCATCCTGTGCTTAGGTTCCAGTTTAAAGGTACGAGGTGTCAGCAGCAGCAACACCAGAGCAGACCGAGCCAGCTGGCCCCTCAGTGATGAAACCCAGCTAAAAAATCTCCACATGTGTGTGCATGTGCACTGTCTGTCCCCACAGGTCCTGAAGAAGTACCCACACCTCTGGTGCATGACCAAGCCCCCCAGCCGGCGGCCCAAGCTCTACATCGTGAACCTACAGGTAACTTGGGCCCAGGGCTCAGAAGCCTGCCACGCAGATTGGGACTTGTTATGGGGGTTCCCCACTGACTGGGCAGGGACCCAGGTAGGAAGCGAGTGTGTGTTCATGCCCCTCTTCCCACCTCAGTGGACGCCCAAGGACGACGGGGCCACTCTGAAGTTACATGGGAAGTGTGATGATGTCATGAGACTCCTCATGGACGAGCTGGGCCTAGAGATCCCCTTGTACAGCAGGTGAGTGGGTGGACCTTGGTCATCGTCCACTACACACCCGTGCCAGTGGGCCATCCTGGGTACCGTACATGGTGGGGGCAGTGTGCAGGGCCCTGGGCGGCAGCAGATCGGAGCACATAGAACTTAAATTGAAACTTAATGCAGAATTTGTGATGATGTCGCTGCAGCGTGTGTACCGAGTAAAAAGTTTACACTTTCTCTCTCTGTGAATTTTCAGGGTCTTTAGGGGAAATCAATAACTTCTTTTAATCAAAGGGTTCAAGAAGTTAAGGATTCCTTCAGCTTCTGGGCCTGGCAATTCTTGTATGTTATGTCTGTGGTGTTCTGTGAAGTGGGTCTATTGTGTACTGTACTTTGCGTTTCTTTACTTATTTTACATGAACTTAGCTCATTTTCCTTTATCAGTGCTTCTCTGTATCTTTGGTTCTACATCTCAAATCAAATGTTGATTTCTTCACAATGTGCTCCGTAGGCTGTGCCTCCCTGCCCTTCCCCCGTCAGCTCCCACACTGCCCATCCTGTCTAGAAAGGGGAAACAAGTGAAAAGGGCCCAGAGTTGCTAGGACCTGACCCTGGCGGTGGGGGCGGCCTACATACCCTGTGTGCCCAGCCACCTGGGTGCACAGCTGCATACACACCCCGCCAAGTCTAAGGGCGCATGGGGGTGGGGGCGGAAGTCAGCTTTCCCATCCCCGGGGCAGGCAGTGGCCAAGAGACCAGCACACGTGCCTCAACTCCACTTTCTCTTCTGGTAGGTGGCAGGATCCCATCTTCTCCTTGGCCACCCCATTGCTTGCTGGTGAGGAGGGCAGTCACAGCCAGCGACCACTGTGCCGAAACAGAGAGGAGGAACTATCCAGTGGCCAGGACGCCCCATCAGGCCCGGCTCCTGCTCGAGGCGGCTGGTTTGGCAGGGGCTGTGCCAAGCGGATCAAGAGGAAAAGGGTCACGTAGTCTGGTGCTCAGCGAAGGACATGGTTGGCACTTTGCAAGCTGCCGGACTCTCATTCAGGGCGAGGGTTAACAGGCAGCTCCCCCAGGGTCTGCTTCGAAGAGTCATCAGCAGCGAAGTTTTTAGCCATTTGCGCGCCTCTGGGAAGCTGTAACTCCTGCCCCTTGCACTGCTGCGGGGACCTCTCCCAGCCCCGGCCCCTAGGTCTCCAAGGAGAGGGGGTTTTACACCTGGCGGCCAGAACCAGCATATGGCTGCCTTACCTCAGTCACCAAGCCCGTCTCAGGAACAAGTCCCTTTCTACCACTTTCTTCGGGTGTGCGGCAGGGCGGTGGCTGCGAGCCCGGCGCTCAGCCCTTTTTATCCTTCTTATTAAACATCTCTGCACTGTTCCCCCCGTCTCCAGTGATTCAACCGCCCCAGGGCACTGCGCGCGTAGGACCCCAGGGGACGACTAGCACTCGGCCCCAGCCTCTGCCTGGTGCTTGGCCAGTTTGAAGGATCTTGTGGGCGGGGCCTCAGAGGCTGGGCTAACCTGAGGGCCGTTGGCTTTGCGGGAACCCGCGCTCCAGAGACTGGAAGGCTCACGCCGTGGGCCAGACGAGTAGGTGATGCATTCCATTGCCCTGGAGCTGCAGGACTGGGCTGGGCTGGGCTCCAGTGGGCACCGTACGCGATTGGCCAGACGCGAAAGCGGCAGGGGTGGAGCCGGGGCAGGCAGCCCATCTCATTGGCCAACTGCAGATGGGCCTCCTGGGCGGGGCCCCAGGGACCCGCGGTGCGCACAGTTGGCCAGACAAAATTGGGAGACCTGGGATGGGGCGGGGCCCAGGCAGTCAGCACTCGCCATTGGCTGCGCGCAGCGGGGTGAGGTCCGCGTGACGCTGCGGCGCGTGCGCGGGGCGGGTGGCGGCGCGGTGGCTCAGTCTCAGGGACTATCTGGGAACGGGCCTGGCTGCGCAGCCGACAGACCATGATCCGGAACGGGCACGGAGCTGAAGGCGCCATGGACAGGCCAGGCCCCGAGGGCCGACGCGCCGTGCGGGTGTGGTGCGATGGCTGGTGAGCGCGGGTCCGGGGGCGACTCGGCCCAGGCGTCCGGCCACACTTGGGCCTGGGGCTGCGGAGTCCAGACGGGAGGGAGCGACCGGCGTCCGAGTGGTGCTGCGCCCAGGGCGCGCGCGGAGTCTGGGTCGTTACGACTGTGGGGGCGTGGGCTGGACGACCTTCCCGGAACCTGGACATGGTGCTCCCAAGGCCGGGGCTTGGTGTCAGGCTGTTGGAGGACCCCGATGACAGCTCTTGTCCCGAGGCCTCTGCGTGTTGGTCTGTGAATTTTCAGCAAGGGATATGGCAAGACAGGCCCCTAGGCGTCGCGTAGCTCCTCCCGGACCTGGTGGCCCGGCAGTTGGGTGTGAATCCAATTCTGGCCCCAATGTTTCTGGGCCATTAGGAGCAGATACTGGACGCCCGATGAGGACGACATGTCTGTGGGGTCTTCGAAGACCAGCCTTTCAGCGGGGTGTCAGGACCAGTGTCTCCTGAGCCCACTTCCTTCCCAGACAGACTAGATAGAGAACGTTTGTGCTGCCGGGAGTACCACAGTTACTGCTAACTTACTGCTTCTGCTGTTTGCGTCTCTCTGTCTTTCCTGGAGGGGAGCAAAGAAAAACCCCCTTTTGGCTAGAAGTTGGACAATTGCAGGAAGACCCTAGCCCCAGCCCAGGCCTTCAGAGGAGAGCTCCTTGCCCGGAATCAGCTCAGGGAGAAAGGACATGGCTTCGTGGCAGTGGACTCTGACCCTGGCCAGTCCCACTTTTATCCCAAGTCCTGTCCAGTGTGCACACAGCCAACCTGTTGGGGTGGGGTGGGATGACAGCACTGAGTAACCCCACTCTGTAGAGGGAAGACAGCGGTGCCTGGCACCAGGCGAGTCATTTGGAGAAAAGGCCCAGCTTCTCTGTTCAGCAGGCAGAGCTGTACGGCCCTCAGGGAGACCCTCAGATACCACCAACGCTCCAGCAGGTACCCAGTACAGCCTTGCAGTTACGTTCACTTGGAAACAGACCCTGAGTTTGAGGACAGAGCTCTAGGATTCGTGGGGAAGGAGGTGGTTGTACATTTCAGAAATTTCGGGAATAAGCGATTCTCAGGCCCTTGCCTTTTTGTTGGGATTTTTTCTTTAGCGTTGACCCGGGACTATAAATTGACCTCTGGGTGGTACAAGGTCTTACCCCTGACCCCTGAGGTAATGTAGATTTTGCTGGAAGCATTTCTGCTCCTGGCAGATTGTGCTTGGGGAGAGGATGAACTTGAACTCTTGTCTGCCCTCACACTCGGGCCCAGGGACCAGAAGTGTGGAGAGCAGGCAGTCTGCATCTACTGCGACAGCCCAGCCCCTACTGCGGGACCGGACTCGAGTTGTGGGCCAGAGGCCGCAAGGGGCTGACTGTCTTGCTCCTCGGCAGCTATGACATGGTACATTATGGCCACTCGAACCAGCTGCGCCAGGCACGGGCCATGGGCGACTACCTCATCGTGGGTGTGCACACCGATGGTGAGCTGCAGCTGCCAGTGCTGGGACGGGGCTCCAGCAAACCTGTGGCCAGCCCGCTCCCCAGACTCACTGTCCGTCCTTGTCCTTTCTCCTGCTAGAGGAGATCTCCAAGCACAAGGGCCCCCCTGTGTTCACCCAAGAGGAGAGGTACAAGATGGTACGGGCCATCAAGTGGGTGGACGAAGTGGTGGCTGCAGCACCTTATGTCACCACGCTGGAGACCCTGGACAAGTACAACTGTGACTTCTGCGTCCATGGCAGTGAGTGGCGTGGGACCCAGCGCCCCAGGCTCCCTGGTGCTGATGAGAACCTGTATGACATCTCAGCCTTGGGGTCCCTCCAAGGGTCCGAGAAGAGCTACGGGTTCTTTCCCCAGACACAAGATCACGCTGGGTGGGCAGGCCTGACATGGGGAGGTCATAAACCCCATAATACCACCGCCTTGGGGTGAGGGTCCTGCTCTGTGTGCATGGTGCCCGCAGATGACATCACGTTGACCGTGGATGGCCGAGACACCTATGAGGAGGTGAAGCAGGCAGGGAGGTACAGGTGAGCCCGCTATGTTCTCTCTCTGGGCGAGGGTGCAGTGGGTTCTAACTGCAGACCTTCGAGCTTTAGGGGAGGAAGGAGAGCGTTTGCTTTGACTGTGGCCCCCCGCACATGTGGTGTCCTCTGCCCGCATGACCACATCACTCTGGAGACTCAGAATCTGTGTCCTAGCTCATTAAACTCTTGAGAGCCCAGTGTGGTCAGCAGCAGCTCCTTGTAACCATGAAGCTCTGAAGCCACCTCAGAGACAGTGTAGCCGAGTGGGGCCCTTCCGCCTCTGACTGACGCAAGTCTCTGTTTGTGGGAGGAGCCTAGTGTCACAGCCTGAACCCTGCCCACCTTTCCCCCAGAGAGTGTAAACGCACCCAGGGTGTGTCCACCACTGACTTGGTCGGACGAATGTTGCTGGTGACCAGGGCACATCACAGCAGTCAGGTGAGCTCGAGCGAGCCTGCCAGGGTTTCGGGCATGCCTCTGGGGACCTGGCTGGGCTGAAGGAAGGGGCTGCTCCCTCGCCTGCAGGCCAGCCTCACCCTGCTCTCTTCTAGGAGCTGCCGTCCGAGTACCGAGAGTACGCAGACAGCTTTGGCAAGGTGAGTGGTGCCCCTCACCCACTTGGCCATCCCGGGAAAGGGGGAGCTCAGAGCCTCCCGCTGAGCTTGCTCCCAGCCAACAGTGGGGCCCCTGGGAGGAGGGCAGGCACTCAGCAGCCAATACCTGGAGGAGGCTCTGACCGGACGGCCTGGCCTCTCTCCCTCTGTAGCCCCCTCACCTGCCACCTGCCAGGGAGACACTTTCCTCAGAATGCTCCTCCCAGGTGACCAGACGGTGGCCTCAGGGTACCTGGTCCCCGAAACCTGTGTCTGTTGGCCACTGGCCCCTGCCTCCTCCCCCAGGGACAGTCGCTGGCCCGAGGTGTTGGTGCCAGCCTCAGGACGCCCCTGCCTGCTGGTGGTGTGGACCGGTGATCTGACCTACCTGCTCCCTTGCCTGGGCCGTCAGCCTGGACATGGGACGAGTAGGAGGCCTGGGCTTCGTCCCCTGGCTACAGACACAATTGGAGCGCTGACCTGCAGGGCCCTTCCCCCACCCTTCCATCCCCACCCCCACGCTTCCCAGGGCAAAGGGACAGGCAGGGGCCCAAAGCCCCCAGTATGCAGAGGGGACTGGGCCAGGAAGGCACTGGGAACCTCCATGCTGACCAGTATCTCTCGGCTTGCAGTGCCCAGGGGGTCGAAATCCCTGGACGGGGGTGTCCCAGTTCCTGCAGACGTCCCAGAAGATCATCCAGTTTGCTTCTGGGAAGGAGCCCCAGCCAGGCGAGACTGTCATCTACGTGGCTGGCGCCTTTGACCTCTTTCGTATCCTTGGGGTGGGCTGGGATCACCCTGCCTGGAGCTTCCTGTACTGCCTCTCGGTGGCAGCTGGGGGTAGGGAGCAGCCAGTGGGTGGCTGGGTGCAGGAAGGGCCCCTCCCTTAACACGGGCTCAGACATTGGGCACGTGGACTTCCTGGAGAAGGTGCACCAGCTGGCGGCGCGGCCCTATGTCATCGCGGGCCTGCACTTTGACCAGGTGCTCACCTCACCGGTGTCTGTTGATGCTCCTGCAGATGGGAACGGGGGTGGGGGGCGGGGGTTGGAGACAAAGGAGATTCCCCCTCACTGCAGTCATGTGGGGTGAGCACCCCAGAAGACAGGAAGAGGTGGCAGAGACAGCTGGCCCGTTTCCCCTCCCTAGGAGGTCAACCACTACAAGGGGAAGAACTATCCTATCATGAACCTACACGAGCGGACCCTGAGTGTCCTGGCCTGCCGGGTGAGTGGGCTCCGGGGGGAGAGGGCCTCCCAGTAGCCTCGGGCCCTGGCTGGTGGGGCTGGCCTAGCAGACTGCCTGTTGTCCCCTAGTATGTGTCTGAGGTGGTGATCGGGGCCCCCTATGCAGTCACCGCTGAGCTCCTGGACCACTTCAAGGTGAGGCTGTGGTGGACCCAGAGGGAGCTGGGCTGGGGAAGGGGTACCAAGCGGTTGCAGCCGCCCACCTGGAAGGCTCCCTGACCACTGTTCCCTCCCAGGTGGACCTGGTGTGCCATGGGAAGACAGAAATTGTGCCCGACAAGGACGGTTCTGACCCATACCAGGTGGGTCTGTGGTGGTCCTTGTGAGGTGTGCTGTTGCCTGGCACCCTATTTGTACAGTAGGAGTGGTTGTCCTCATTGAATGGGAGGGCACATCTGCTAAGTGAGTGAGCACGGCCACCTTCCCCTCCGCCCTCAGGAGCCCAAGCGGAGGGGCATCTTCTGCCAGGTGGATAGCAGTAATGACCTGACCACTGACCTCATTGTCCAGAGGATCATTAAGAACAGGTGAAGCTGCTTTATGGGCTCAGCCCCGCTGAGGGGAGTTGTGGCCCATGCTGAGTAAGGCTTACCCCTGCCTCTCTTCGCAGGCTAGAGTATGAAGCAAGGAACCAAAAGAAAGAGGCCAAGGAGCTGGCCTTCCTGGAGGCTGCTCGGAGGCAGGTGGAGAGTGACTGTGACCTCTGACCCCCAGGGGCGAGGCAGCCAGCTCAGCCTGTGCCCTCACCTGCTCTGCTTCCTGTGGCTTAGAGGTGTCCACTCAACTCAGTGAAGCTCAGAAGCCGCCTTCCTCCCCGACCCCAGGCTGTCTGAGCCGTGTACAGAGGGCATGTAGGCTACGGCAGGAGCTGGACACCTTGGACCAGAGATGCAGTTTCTAGAGTACGGGAGGCTCAGCGCCTGCCCTCCCTCAGCTCAGGGCTGCTCAGACAGTGGGGCAGGCCTCAGTGGGACAGGGAGGCGTGAGCTCCAGCAGGGTGAGTGTGGAAGAGGGCTCCAGGAGAGAGGGACGGGCACTGCCCCTTCCCTCCCCAGTGAGCCTGTCCTGCTGCCTCGCTGCTTTCTACTGACTTCACCTCACTTGCTGCTCTTTGCCACTCAATAAAGGAATTCCTGGGAAGCTCTTCGTTTGACTCCCGGCCCTGCCAACCCAAGCAGCCAGCGACCTGGGCCAGGGCAAGGGTTCCCACCACATTACACGGGAACCACCACAGACAGGGTCCCCTCCTCCCAGGGCCTCGCTCTCTGGGTATCTGTGGCAACACAAAGGGGGGGTGGGCTTCAAGTGAGGAAAGTGTTGTAAAATCTCTTGCTCTCCCATCCTTTGCAGAACGGCTTGTGAGGGGCCCCACAGTCTGGGTGCCTCTGACTGTGTCTGCTCTTTCACAGAGAAAACGGGTTTTTGTCCTTTGCTTTTTCTTGACATATTTGGCAGTTTCAGGCGAGTGTAAGTTGTGGGGAGGAAGCACTGGACTGCTGCTCTGCTCTGAGCCCACCCATCTTCCACCAGGCAGTTCCAGTGGCCTCACAGGACCTTGGGAACCAGAGCGCCAACTCCCACACTTGGCCTTCCTGGCACTCCTGGGGACCTCCCTGGCCAGGGGTCCTCATTGTGTTGGCCTCTGAGATGGTAGATCTTGAGTGTGGGTGAGGTAGTGGAGGGGGCGCGGGGGTGTTAACCTGGTCATTAGATCCAAGTTCCCATTAGATCCAAGTTCCCACCTGCCCAGACTGCTTCCTCTTGGCCCCAGCACCCCTGGCTTTGTCCCAGCCTCCCAGGAGCTGCACCCTTGGCCTTGCCTGGAGGCTCCCTCAGTTCATGACCAGCCAGATCTTTGGGGGACGTCTGAAAAAGGTGTACCTGCAGAAGGATCCCCCCACCCCAAGGGACAGTGTGTCACGAGGAGCTGCTAGCAGCAAACAGGTGGGAGGGTTGCCTAGAGTGAGGTGCCAGTTCTAGGAGGCAGAATTTTTTAGATGGCTGGTGGGGGACCCAGGGAGGATCTTCCGAGGAGCTGCAGGTACAAAGTGGGAAGGGGCTGGTTAGGAAAAGTCCCTTGCTTTGTGGGGGCACAGGGCTGAAGACAAGCAAAGCCAGGCAACAAGGGGGTGGGTAACTGCTGGAGGACCCCCCACCCCCAAGAGGCTTCACCCTCCACTGGAGACTCCGCAGCACCCCACCGCTCTGAGGCTGTTTGGATTCTCGATTTATTTAGTCGCTTAGTCATTTACTGGGAAGAGTGGTCTGGGGCCATCCAAGTGGGACCGGGGGCCGGGGACCGGGAGGACGGGGCTGAGCGTAGTCGCCACCCAGTTCAGGCGCGCTGGCAGTCGGCGGCGCTCAGTGACAGAATGACGTCCGCTTTGCACTGGAGAGTCCCTCCGCCGTCGGGGAGCCTAGTGCAGCTGTGCAGACTCGGGGCGACGTGCCGGATGCAAACGGCCTGTGCGTGTGGGCGTGAGCTGAAGGGGGGGCTGGCCTTTCTTACCTCCCGCCGGCGCCCCACCCACCTTTCCACCCCTCACGCTGCCCACACCCCACCCACCTTTCCACCCCTCACGCTGCCCACACCCCACCCACCTTTCCACCCCTCACGCTGCCCACACCCCACCCACCTTTCCATCCCTCACGCTGCCCGCACCCCAACCCTCTGCGCCCCCAGTCCCGCCCTCACGAGGCTCCGCAGGCCAGGAAGCAGTTCTGGGGATGCTTCGGGTTGGGCCGAGGGTTGCATCCTAACGGGGGACTCTGCGCGCCGTGCGTACGGGGACCTTCGGAAGCTGGAAAGCAGCCCCGCGGCACGGCCCACGGAGTAGTAGCTGGGTCCCGCCGGCAGCTTGTACCACCCGCGCCCGGGCAGCGCCAGCAGCAGAACCAGCGACAGGGTGGCGGCCACCAGCATCACGGGCCGGGCCATGGGGATGCGGGTGGGCGGTGGAATGGCTGCGGAAGGCAGCGGCTAGACGGGCCTTATATCCGCGGTGGGGCGGGCGGAGGGGTGGGGTGGAGGATGAGCAGGTTGCGGGGGTGGCAGAGCCCGCGGCGCCGGGTGAGCAAGCGCGCAGGCGGGCGGCGGCGCTGGGGCTTTTGAGACCCCCTACGGGCCTACCCACTCCCAGGATGTAGCCGCGCTTGTGCCCCTTAAGGCGGGGGAGGGTTGAAGGTGGACCCCAACGCCTCCTGGGGTCTGAGTCTTCGCCCTCCACCCTCGGCGGGAGCCCCACAACAAACAGAGCTGGCTGGAGGGAGAGGACCTGTCAGGAGGAGGGGGTAGCATGACCAGGTCCCATGGCCTTCCAGCCCCTGGCCTGGGGCCAGTCCCCTCACTGAGCATACGGTTCATCAAAGGCCACACAGGGAAACTCAAGTTAACTGAGCTCCCACCGGGTCAGGCACCCAAGATGCACAGGACGAGGACCACCCAGTAAGAGAAAGGGCAGCTTCCTACGAGGCTGGACTTTCTGCAGGTGGCGTCCAGGCCTCATATGAGGGTGCTGCAAGAGGGGAAGCCTGTGAACCCTTCTGGATAATATGGGGGCAGCTGGGCTTAGGTCACAGGGAGGCAGTGACAGGAGGGAGGGGTCCAGGAGTGTGGGGGGCTGCTTCGGAGGATCGTGAGGCCCACTGTGAGCTGGAATCCTGGGGAGTCAGGACACCTCCATCAAACAAAGTGAGAACCCCATCGGAAGACCTCTGCTGAGTCCCCCCTGCCAGTCGGCTCCTCCAGGTCTCCCTGGATCGCCATTGAACGGGAACTCCTGGAACTTGCACAGGTGGCCGGCAGCTGGGGACAGACTAGCAGGATGGGAAGGGGCACAGAGTAGCAACGAAGTGGCTGAGTTAACTTTGTCCACAGCGGCAGGGCCCCAAACACACTGGTCAGAGACTGACACATGTCCCCAGGGAGATGGGAACCCTGCTGAGCGCTGTTTGGGAGGATGGGCCGGGTCACATTGCTCCTGTTAGCTGGTATACACCTAGGGCCCGAAAGGTCCGGCTGAGTGCCGGGAGCCATCAGCCTGAGTCAGCCTGCTGAAAACACAGGCACTAAGAGATGTTTATTCATGAGAGTTTTAATATCCAGACTCCTCCGCACGTCAGTGCACCAAGAAAACAGTGGGGCCTCCAGCGAGGCTGAGAGACGTTAATGAACTTCACCTACTGAATAAAATCGTCAGCTCCGCAGAGGGAAAACAAACACCGTCCTTGGTTCAACTCTGCCACATGGGGGGTGGGAGGCTGTCCTCAAGACCCCAGCTGGGGATCAGTCCAGACAGAGCAGGGGTCTTGAGAACCCGGGCATGAAGCTGCGGGGGTAGTAAATACGAGCGGACCTGTAGGGGAGCTGGGGAGGGGATACCGCGTCTAGACTAAGCTAGGGGGTTAGCGAGTCCGGCTGAGCGGGAGGCTGGGCCCCGCCGCCGCTCGCTCACTCCTTGAATTTCCACTCCTGGCGGCACATGGGGCAGTGTTGCTGCATTTGCTGTGCATTGAGCCACTTGAGGATGCAGTGCATGTGGAAGCAGTGTGAGCACTGGCCCCACACCAGGGGGCAGTCGTCGCCCGGCACTTGACCTGCGGAGAAGACGGGAGGGGGGCGGAGCTGAGGGGCGGGGTCCTGGCTAAGGGTTCCGCCCACCGCCCTGCCCACCCCCCCCACCCCCCGGGGCCCTCACTGCACCGCGCCATAGTTCTAACTTAAAGCCACTTCCGGAGCTCCGAGCCCGAGACTGTCGAGGTCAGGAACTGCCTGCAGCCCGGGAGCCGGGATGGAGTGGGAGCTCGGGAACTACGGGAGCGCTCTCCGTCACCACCTGACACAGGGAACGCGCGGAGGCTGCCCCTGCAGACACCTGAATGCTGGGCAGCCGCCGCCTCCCTGAGCAATTCCCAGAGCCCAGGGTGTATCCGTCTCCTACATCAGGGCGGCCGTTTCCATCCCTCTTCCTAAACGGCCCTTGAGTGAAGTCCCTCCAAGAGTGGTAACTCTCTTTCTGGAACTGCCCGCCTGGCAGAGACTATTTGTTCTTGTGAAGTGCCACTGAATCGATTTCGACCCACAGCGACCCTGTATAGAGTTTCCACTGACCTTGCAGTTCAAACGACTTTGCAGTCTGACGCATTAGCCCACCCCAAGGCTGCAGCTGGGAACACACTAGCAGGATAGACGGTTCAAGCTCACCAGCTGCTCCTCGGAAGCCCTATACAGGGTCGCTATGGGTTGGAATCGACTCCACAGCACTTAACAACACCAACAAACAAATTCTCACGGAGCCCGGGCCGTGGAGCAGCACTCAGAGCCCCTGAGCTGCAATCCTGGGTCAGTGTCATGGTCAGTACTGGCCCAACAGGAGTACCTGAGCTCTGCAGCCCAAACACAGGGCAAGGAGATGGCGGTGGGATGAATTCTATAACACCTGATTTAAATTCGGTGTCCTCTTTACTTTCACAGAGCCAAGCCCTAAGCCCTTTTGCTGTAGGATAAGCAAAAGGCCGCAGTTCAAACACACCACTACCGCTCCACCGGAAAAAAATACCGCTATCTTCTCCTATAGATATTGACAACCTCAGAAACCCTATACAGGGTGGCTCGGAATCAGAATAGAGCCGGGGATGTGGGTTTGATTTGGGGTTTGACTGTTGCCCTAAAAGAGGAACAGGAAAGATTGTGAGGGTGAACCAGAAGCAGGCAGTGCAATCACCTCAACAACGACAACAGAAAACAGGGGTGCTGTGGTGGCTAGCGATTTAATTCTTGACTTCATGCCGAAGACCTGGCCCGGCCAGTGCATCTCATGTTGCAGCCACCACCTATCTGTTAGCAGAGACTGAACCAGTCTCAGTGCAGCTCCCACACTAGGAGGCACTAGGAAGAAAGGTCTGGCAACCGACTTCAAAAGTCAGCCTGAAAAACCCTACGAATCATAATGGTCTGACCTGCAACCCATCAGTGCGATGGTGCAGGACGGAGCAAGTGTCTCTAGCTGCTGTGCATGAAGTCACGGTGCTAGGAGCCGGGCTGGCAACAGGAAGAAAGGCCTGGCTGTCCACTCATCGGGGAGTGGTATCCGGACCACTCTGGGCACCAGAGAGCCAAGTATCAGCTTCATCTTGTGCTATCACTTTGCACAGTTTGGTGGCTGTCATGGCAGTGCCAGATGATTGGACTTTCAAAGCTCCCCAGGCTGGAGCAGTTTATTGGGCCTTTGAGTGGGACTCTGAGTTTACCAGGAGCAATCCCTGCCCATGAACACAAGCCTACTGTCACACCACAACCACCAACCACTAACCCAGAGGTGGGAACGCTGCAGCGCGATCCTCTACAACAACCATCTTGTGATCCAACACAATCTGAGTGCCTCTCACAAGTGTGGGGGTGCCGAGTGCCCGGATGTCAGGGCAGCAGCCGGGGATCCTGTGCGCAAGCCTAGGTCTAGCACTTTTCACAAGTGTACATCTTCCATGTTCTGGAAACGGCACGCATGAGGGGGCGTCAAAAAGTTCATGAAAAACATGGAGTTAAAGAGAGGATGGGATTTTCCTGCCAACTTTTTGGAGCCTCCTCTTTCTTGCCCTGAAATCAAACCACAATCATCTGCTATTCAGGTGGCGTAAGCAGCCAATTGCTCGCCTGCTAACTGAAAAGTTGGTAGTTCAAACCCACCCAGAAGCTCTGGGAGAAAGACCATGTGATTTACTTCCATAAAGATGACAGTCTCCTGTACCTTGCAGAGTGCCAGGGGCCTCAGACATCTGCGAATGGTCATCCCAGGCACACAGTCAGACTTTAGTCACCCGGAGCAACAGAAGTCCAGAGCCAGGAATAGGAGGAGGATATGACTGTGTTGTGTGCCACCAAGTTGGTTCCATCCCAGCCACCCTGTAAAGGGTTTCCAAGAGCAGCTATTGGACCACTGCAGTACTTCTCCTACAGAACCACACCAGGGCTCAGACGGATAGCTGTGGTAGCTGACTCCACAAACAACTGCGTCCTTTGCCATGAGACCAGAAGAACTGGATGGTGCCGGTTGCTTGATCATTTAGTCATAAATTCTGCAGAAGAATGCTATTGAAAAGCAGGGAAACGCAGAACAGAATTTCAGGAATCATGGGGGCCAGATGTAGCCCTGAGATCATCTTTCAACCTTAAACCAAAAATATCCCCTGAAGTCTTAAAATTCAACAATAGTTTAGACGAATTAAAGGTCTGTTTTGCGCACTGTACTCTTTTAAGAACTATGTCTCTGGGCTCAGATGGACACCAGCACCTTGAAAGATTAGCTAGAAATCTGAAGGAGCAGTGAACTGACGTTAATAGAGAAGAACACATCCGACAGGAGGCTGAGGAGGGTTGCGCAACTCAAAGCACGTCATCGGTTTCATTAAATGGTACATGTAGAAACTGTTGAATCAGTGTGCTTTGCAGTGTATATTTTCAACAACAAAATACACTGAAAAGAACAAACATTACAACCTAAGAAACACCACTACTCGATTCCAGGCAGCTGTCTGCTCTGTCACATGGGGTTGTCAAGTCAGAATGGACTCGATTGTATTAACAACCCAGCCGGCTTCAAAGACACTAAAAACAATCAACAACACAACCTAATTAAGAAAATCCAATCGGTGATCCCATCAGATGGAACGCCTTCAGCCTAATACTATCATGGCTTGTTAATCCCAAGTGATGAGCTCTCCTTCCAGCCCAGCCTGGGGCAAACTATACTTGTCCTAGAACCCAATCACTTGAATATCACTGTAAAAAATCCAGTCCTACTCTACATCAAGGAGATTACCAGTAAATGCAACTAAACCACTCAGCTGTAAAGTCCATTTGTGGACAAACTGGGCAGATCTGGATAAGGAACGAGGAAGCCACACTGAGGGATTTAGTGGTGGTGGTTTCGTGCCAGGGAGTCAGTCCTGACTCATAGCGACCCTGCATAGGGTTTCCGAGGCTGTAAATTTTTACAGGAACCAAAAAAGCCTCATGTTTCTCCTACAGAACCACTGGTAGTTTCAAACTGCTGACCTTGAGATTAGCAGCCTGATTCGTAACCACTACGCTACCTGAGCTCCTTACATCGAGGGTTTACTGTAAAGTTGTTGTTGTTAAGTGCCGTCGAGTTGATTCCGACCCATAGCGACCCTGTATAGGGTTTCCAAGGAGCAGATGGTGAGCTTGAACCCCTGACTTTGCAGTTCAAACGATTTTGCAGTCTGGTGCATTAACACACAGTGCCACACCAGGACACTTTACAGTCAAGTAATTAGATGAAAATAGTACTGTGGGGAAGAAACAGGGATTAGGTTTGAGATGTGACTGAACTGTATCGAGATGTTTACAAATTATCTTAAAATACTTCTAAAAAAGAAACAAAAGTGATAAAATGCTAACTCTGTGTGAATGGGATGTGCCTGTTCTGACTTCCCTCTAGTCTGTCTTTGTTGGTTTTGGCCCAGAGAGGCCCAAACTGCCTGGCACTTTGGATATCAGCTCTCCTTTAAGGAAAGGAAAACCCAGGGATTGTATGCAGCTGTTTGCTAGGAGAGACCAGTGGGCAGTGCTCAGTGCAGGGCAGGGAGGCACTCACAGTCGGGGCAGCATCCGTTGAAGGCCATCCGGCAGATACCGCAGTTCTCATCATTGGCCACCCAGAGCCAAGTGGCCACACCATTCCAGCACTTAATCTTCACCTTCATGGTGAGGAGCCTTCACACTGAGGGGAAGAGGATTACCTGGCTATATTTTGTCTGCAGAGCTAGAACACTTGGGCACCAAAGAAGCAGCAGTTGGCCAAGCCAAAAGGGCCAGCAATACTGGGAGTGGTGTGTTCCAGTCAGAGGAGATGAGAAGGTTTGAGATGGCCCTCCACTGTCAAAAAATATCTATTAGAAATCCCTTTAAGCACCAAGAGAGAAATCTGCCTCCAAGGAAGGGAACTGTGTTCCCCAGAAGCCTGGGATCATGGTTAGGATACCAGGAGACAGACCATTGCTAAGAGGAGCTTCCTGTCACTCACATTTAACTCACCTTTAAGGACCTCAAGTTATAGCTTGAAATTCACAAAAGGCTTACTGGTTCCATCAGTGAATTATACAACTATGCCAGACAATACAAAGAACGTAATTAACAAAGACAGACACTAACTTGAGTTACAGATGCATGCCAAACCTCCCCAAACCCGACTTTGAGTTTCATTATGAAAAACAAACATCCCTCCTCTCACACACACACCGTGTATACTCCGGATCGCACCCACCTCGGGGTTGCACCCGAGGTGAAGTCAGTACTTGGGTCCACACTTTGACACAAGTGGTCAAGAGCAGTAAACGAAGAGCGGGTAGGTGGGAAAGGGAGGTAGGGACCCAGTCTCCTCCCAAGGCAGCTCGGCGTCACAGCCGGCAAGTGGGGACCCACCTCCACCAGCGCTCCGAGACCCGCACCTCCAGCACCCGAGGCCTGACTTCCGCACGGGTTCAGGTCCGGCAAGAGGAGGCCGGCGAGCCCCGCCCCCCAAACCCAGGGCTGGGCGGACGAGGGAGGGGCGCCCCGCCCAAGGCCCCGCCCACAACGGCCGCCAGCCAACCCTCGCACCTTCTGGGATCTAATCAGCGAGGCCCCGCCCGCCCGTCCGTTGGCAGCTCTGGGATCCGCGCGGGAAGGTATAAAAACGTCCGCAGTTGCTACCTAGCACCATTCGAGAGGCGCCAGCCGATCCTTGAGGACTAGTGCGCAAGCGTCGCTCTGCCCCAAGCAGTTGGCCATCCATCCTCAGCCAATCAGCAGCAGCTCCGAGGACACGGCTCCGGAAGGCTCCAATCGACGACGGAAGTGACGTACCTACGTGCTGACGCGCGGGCTCGAGCCGAGGCCGATTCCGCGCCCGCCATGGCCGACAAAATGGACATGTCTCTGGACGACATCATTAAACTGAACCGGAGCCAGCGCGGAGGCCGAGGTGGGGGACGGGGACGCGGCAGGGCCGGCTCCCAGGGCGGACGCGGCGGAGCTCAGGCCGCCGCGCGAGTGAGCCGAGGCGGCGGGCCCATCCGGAACCGGGCGGCTATTGCCCGCGGCGCAGCCGGCGGCGGCGGCAGAAACCGACCGGCGCCCTACAGTCGGGTAAGTGTGGGACACATGGAGGGAACTAGCCGGACCGGGGCGGACGGGGGCCGGCCGGGTCCTGGGGACAGACAGGGGGCCGAGGGAGCTGGCCGCCGGAGGCTCGACCGACGGGTGCCGGCGCCCGCGGGGAGGTGGGCGAGGGAACGCTCGATCGGGGTCGGCCCCGGAGGCGGAGACCCTCCGCTGCCCTTTGTCTGAGCCGGGCGCCGAAGCCTCGTGGCGGCGGGAAGTTGGTTGAAGGGAACTGAGAAGTTGTGGCCGCGACCGGGGCCTGGGGCGGGAAGCCGTGTGTGGGGTCTCCGGAGTGAGGCTGACCTGTGTGCATGCTTGTCTCCTGGGGGGCTTCTGCCTTTAGCCGAAGCAGCTTCCGGACAAGTGGCAACATGACCTCTTCGATAGCGGCTTTGGAGGCGGTGCCGGTGTGGAGACTGGTGGGAAGCTGCTGGTGTCGAATCTGGATTTTGGAGTGTCGGACGCCGACATTCAGGTACGGAGCGCCGGTCCCGCGGCAGGAAGTGATGGGCGCCCGGGGCGGAGGCTGTTCCTGCTGCCCCCTCGGAGAGCTGTTGTTGCTGTGGGTTGTCAGGTTGTTTGCAGCGTGTGTAGGGTTTTTGAGTTTGACCTGCCAGCCTTGCAGTTAGCAGTCAGTTCAGTGCTGATGGTCCAGGGCCGCCCACATGCCATGGCTCCGTAGAAACTTGTCTCGGGCTTCACGGGTCTCTTCTCAAGTCGTCTTTGGTAGTGATGGTTAAAGTGCTGTCGGGCCTATTTCAACTCCTAACCTATGCCATTTCTTAGGAATGGCTGGTGGGTTCGAACCACCAATCTTGCTGTTAGCTTGTGCTTAACATCCAGTGTTTATCCTGCAGCACTCCTGAGTTTTTATTTGGCATTTTAAAAAATTGCATTTAATTAGGTGTGTATTCTGGCTAAGGACTAAGCTGTAGGACTCAGGCTTGGAGATGAAGGGTAGGGTGCTGGGCCCTCCTGGGTTCCTTTTCGAGGCTGAGGACATGGGAGGACTGAGAAAGGCTGGTGAGTGCTCACAGCATCTCAGCACTTTTAGAGGTGGTTTCTGCATCCACTGGAAGTCACTTTTGGTGAGCTCCTCATCCTGCTTTGTGCCTATGGTGCCGGGTTCCCTCTCCTATCCCAGCCTGCCTGAGCTCAGGACAGTTTCCACATCAGTGCCTGACTTCAGCCTTGTGGCAGGCTTGAGGAGTCGGAGAGGGAGAGGTGAGGCAGAAGCTGCCTGGGGGACCTCCATGAGCACCCTCTGGGCCGGCCGCTGCTGGCTGTTCCCCTTGCTCTGTGGTCTTGGCCTTTGCTGTTTCTGGATGCTGCCTTGGTCAAAGACATTCGGGTCTTAGTCATGTAGCCCCCATAGTGGGTTTACAATTTCCTTCACCTGCCTCAGGATACAGGTGTCTAGTCTCTAGTTGACAGGGACCCCACCCTCACTCAGGCCCCACCCCTCCCTGGAAGACACCCCCTGGGAACCAGGAAACAGGTAGCTTTGCTGACAACAGCCCTTTCCCGTTCTCAGGAGCTCTTTGCCGAGTTTGGAACCTTAAAAAAGGCTGCTGTTCACTACGATCGCTCTGGCCGGAGTTTAGGAACAGCCGACGTGCACTTTGAACGGAAGGCCGATGCTCTGAAAGCGATGAAACAGTACAACGGTGTCCCTTTGGATGGTGAGTGTTGATCGGGACAAGACTGGGGCAGGATGGTGTTTGTGGCATTGGGGGTCATTCCTGACCTGGAGGTGTAAAGTACCCTCCAAGGCTGAGGACTGTTTGTATTTGCACCTTTGTCTATCCTGTTGGATTCTGCCCCACATGGGGGCCAACCTCTTGTGAACATCCCCTTAGCAAGCTCCATTCCTCCCTTCCTTTAGCTCCTTTTGCATGATTGACTTGTGTGAAGCCGTCTCAGAACCTGTACAACATACCTCTGAAGCAGGGGCTGTAGTTGTAAAGAGGGATACTTTGTTTTCCATGAGCTCACCTGTACCTTTCTATCAAATAATCCCCCCGGCCTAGACAGAAAAGGCAGGCTGAGGTGTTGGTGGCTTGTCTCGGTTCCTGTATCCGTGAGTTCAGGCTCCATGCCTTTTTCTTTGTCACAGGCCGCCCCATGAACATCCAACTGGTCACATCACAGATCGACACACAACGGAGACCTACACAGAGGTGAGTCTGGGGCCTGTGGGGCTGGGACCACACTGTCCTTGGGGGCTTTACAGGACATGAACAGGTCCCATTTCTCATAACAGTATAAACAGAGGCGGTATGACCAGAAACCGTGGCTCTGGCGCGTTTGGTGGTGGCGGTGCCCGGAGAGGCAGCCGCGGAGGCAGCCGGGGACGAGGCAGAGGGAGCGGCAGAAGTTCAAAGCAGCAGCTCTCCGCAGAAGAATTGGACGCCCAGTTGGATGCTTATAATGCTCGGGTATGTCTTAATCCATGCGCCGGTCTAGGTGGGCGGCTCCCTAGGGCAAGCCAGTGTGCTGAATGCACCCCTCTCTTTCCTCTGTTTCAGATGGATACTAGCTAGGCAGACCGCAGACCGTGCTCAGCACAGAACCCAGACGTCTCACCCGGGCTTCCAAGAGGGAGGGTGGGTGGCCTCGGCTGGGCAGCCAATGATGGATTTGTTTCATTTATGTTTTAAGATAGGATTTAAAAACTCATGTAAAGGTTTTTTTTTCTGTTTGTTTTGTTTTTTGTTTTTTTTTTTTTAAATTCTGAAACAGACCTGTTTTGTACTGAGTTATTTTTGGGATAAACTTTACTGGTTGCTGTTGTGGGGAAGGTGGCGTTTTCACCTTTGCCATAATAAACTAGAACCGTGTGTAGAACTGGATCTGTCTGCTCTGTCCCGCTGCTGGGGGTTGTGGGGCAATCCTGAGGTGTGCTTTCAAGTTCCAGGCCACCTGTCTGACCACTGTCCAGTCCCTGCCAGGCTTGAGTCTCCTCTTGTACTTGTTACATGAGGGGATGCCAAGCAGGGTAGACTTTGTCAAGAGGTGAGCTGCCATGGCAGGAGGAGCCTGAGTTTGCTCACTGCCACCATGTGCTCCCTGGGAAACGGGGTGGTCTTCCCATAGCAGTAGGGTAGTGTAATGACTGGGAAACCAGCAGCTGTTTGCCTCGCTGAGAGCCAGGGAGGGTGGCTGCCATACACAGCCCAGTGCTCTCCGTGAGCTGGCTGCCAAGACTGACTGCTGCCTCCGCCTCTTGAGGAGAGTGGGTGCTCGAGCTGGTGAAGGCCCGTGAGACCCGGTCGGTGCTGACTCATTGTAATCCTATAAAGGGTTTCCACAGCCCACCTTGTGGTTTGCAGTCCAGCGCTGATCCGCCAGCACCACACCAGAAGGCCCGAGTATGCTAAATGTGATCTTTTCTCACCGGCAGGTTCAGGAGCCTGGGCTGGGGCCTGGAGCTAGGATCAGGGCTCAGAGAAGAGGCTGGCCCAGGGGCCGGCCGGGAGACTAGCCCCACAGTGTCTATAGCCAGAACACCATCTCCTGGCCAAGGACCAGAGAAGGGCAGGTGCAAAGCCCCTCTCTGGGGAGACAGTTGCCATCTCCTGTGTGGAGGGCAGATTTGGAAGGGCAGGAAGGAGTGGGAGTCTGAGGGACAAGAGGGAATGGTAGCTAAGCATCTCTTCTGTAGAACCTGGGAGGTACGTCCATCCTGGATCCATGACGTGGACTCTGCCCACTGAGGGCCAGTCTAGTAGCGAGGACATAAGGCCCCCAGTTCCTGGGACAGGGGAGGTTCTGTCCTGGCCTTTGGGCAGTGTCCCTGAGCAGGCAGCCCAGCCAGTAGGAAGTACTGGGGGCCTTCAGCCTCCCCACCCACTGATGAAACAACTCATCAGTCAGGAGGGTCCAGGCAGGGGCTGACGAGCACCATGGAGGGTGCGGTCCCCTTGGGGAACAGGAGCAGGGCATGACTAATGGGCAGAAAGTGCTAAGGATAAAGTGGGTGGGGAAGGCTCAGGACGCTGGTGTGTGAGGGGCTCACTTCGAACTGCTGGCCTGTGCGCACATGCAAGGCTGCCCTAGGTGACTCGCAGGGTCCCGAGATGAACCCTGAAAAGCCAGCTTTAGAGAAAGGACAGCAGTGACTGGAGGAATGCTGGGAAGTGAGAGAACCATGCAGAAGTGGATAAGCATGGCCAAGTGTCTTGTCTGAAGGGCAGCACTGGCTGGACCAGGATGGGTCACTGTCCACTGGGGTTGGAGGCCAGCACCAGCTACTGCTCCCCAGAGATAATTGAAGATGATTTCTCCTTCCTTCTTAGCTCGGCCAGTAAGTGGGAAGTGACAGCCCCTCTCAGCCCATCTGTGAAACTTGCTTCCTGAGAAACCCAGTCTCTTCTCTCTTCTAGTAGCATGGTTCAAATGCATGCACAGTGATTGGCCAGAAGGGGTCACATGATTTGAGCTTGGCCATACTCTTAAGAGACTCCTGGTGTGTTGAGAAAAAGAAGTGCCCCCTTTGTCCCCTTTTTGTACCCCTATCCCACACAATGGTTGAGAGCCACATGTTAAGGATCAGGGATTGGGGGGGAAGCAAAGGGGCAGAGCATCCACAGGGTCCAGGTCCATCCTTCCTGCGGCAGAGACAGTGGGAATAGGTTCTTTGTGGTGGTGATCACAGGACTTCAGTGCATCTTTGGACAGGCCCTCTCCCCTGGTGCATTGTGTGCATTCCTTGTTTCATTCCTCAAACGCGCCTCTTCTGGGAGAGGAGAGCGTCTATCCTGTCCGCAGAGAACTGATGGAGGAGATAGAACCAGAGCCACAATAACGATGCTGCTGCACCATGAGGGTTTGCCTCAGGCATGTACCAGAGGGCTTTAGAAAGTTCAAGGGACAATGGAATTTAAAGATACTGGAATTTTTCTTTAGTTTTTGAGCTTTTTATTGCAAATGGAAGGTTTACAGAGCAGCTCATCAGTTTCCCATTCACCAAATCCTGCACTTGGCTTCGTTCACCTCAGTCTCTGCAGCCCCTGCCACTTCCTCCCTGGGTTTCTTGTTTGATAAGGAAATTTTTCATCATGGAGAAACTTTTTGAAGCCCCTCATACTTCTCATTTAGTCCTCCCAGAAACCTAAGAAGTAATCTCATTTTATAGTTTGAACAACAAAATTTTATCACCCAACTCATGAGTGCTTATCTGTGGCAAACTGGGGCCATCGTGAGAAGCCGGGCACGGAGCCATGAAACAAAGATGTTTCTCTCTCAGAACATGGAGGAAGAAGGTGAATTACAGGATGCCAGGCTGTAGAGAATCTTGTCATCTCCCATGGTTCAATTTTCATACGAGGCGATTTAAGTCCCCTTTACTTCCAGCAAGCAAGGGTGTATCATTTGTATATTGCAGATTGTTGATGAGTCTGTCTCCAATCCTGACACCACATTCTTCTTTATAGATTCGTTTCTCAGGTTACGTGATGTATATTCAATCAATACACAGATTGAATAAGTATGGGAGGAGGACAGGCCCCTAGCACAAGCCTTTCCTGATTTTAAGCCATTCAGTATCCCCTTGTTCTACTGACACTTTCCTCCTGAACAAAATTAAGTGTCCTGAATACTCATTATTCGTAATATTATCCATAGCATGTCATGATCCACACAGTTGAAAGTCTTGGGCAGTCAGTGCTGCTTGTTCCCGACTCCCCCCTGAAGGCCACGCTACATTTGGTTGGCCAACTTTTAACCCCCACCCTCATCCAACCTCAGTGCAGACCCTGCTCCCCAGGAGCTGGAACCCCCACAGCTATGAGCCACACCAGTTTGAGGCAGGTGACTGATTCCAGGTGGTCTTAGCTCCAGACCTGCAGCAGCCAGAGTCACCAGACCAGCATTAGTCTAGCAGAAACAGCATCAGCCACCCTGTCCCCAGGGTGCTAAACCAGCTCCAGGCGGGACCACCACAAACTACTGGCCTATAGGGACGCCGTCGAGGTCCAGGACCTCCGCAGTCCCATTCTTCCCACACCTCCTTGTGAGCTCCTTGGCTGGCAGGAGCCCCTTGAGTTTTCTCTTCTCCAGGTCCAACAGCTGCACTGACTTTTTTTTCTTTTCTTTTTCTCTTCCATGGTTTCCTTGTTTATTCTTTCATCTCCTTCTCTTTCCCTTCCTTTGAATTTGACCCTTTCGATCTCCATTTTCAGTTTTCCTTCTATTTCTCATTTCTGTTCTTTTTTCCCCTTTTGATCTTGCTTTATTACGCTCCACCCTCTTACCTTTTCATCTTCTCTCTCTGCTTGTTTAGTGTTTTTGTTTGTTTTTACTATTGTTTAATTTCTTCCTTTTATTCGTTTCTCTCTTATCTTCTTCTATAGCTCCATTTTCCTGTCCCTCTTTTATCTTTCTGCTTATTACATAATTTTTTCCTTGTTGCCTGTTTATTTTCTTTTTCACCTTTATTATCTTCTTTTTGTGCTGTTGTTCTTTGTTTGTTTGTCTGTCCTGTTATTTCTCTTTGTGTTTGTGAGTGTCTTTCTCTTTCCCCACCTAATGGAAGACCAGAACTGTCCCTCACCCTGCCACAATCAAGCTCAGAAGCTCTCCTCACTGGGCAAGAGGCAGTCCCAGCTCTTACATCACCTGATGCACGATGGACAGCAGCCATACCCTACTGAACTGAGGAACAGCAAGGTGCACATTTCCATGTTCTAACTGCACCCACAGGAGACAGCTGGTCAAAGCCACAAACACACTAGAGTACAACCATCAATTAAAGAATGAAACACCACAACATCCTGGAGAAACAGAGCATTTTAGCTCACACACAGAAACAAGAGCAAGTAGCTTAGAGAAATGGCCAAGATGCAGAACCTGAAAACATTTCTGAGGAAGAAACAAGTAAAGAATGACACATGACACCACCACCCAGAACTCAATCCAGAAACAGAATATTTAAAGTAAAACAAACTCACAAGACTGAAAATAAGGAATCAGAGGTATCAATTTGTAATGATAAAATAAAAAAAGGAAAGAGTGTAGAGACAGACTTCCAAATGGCAAAGAAGTCAAGTAGATTTAAAGTCAAGTAGCCTGTTTTAAATGGGTATTTAAAATTAATAAATTATAGGGTAACCTCAAAGAAAATGAATACACATTCACATCAAAATTAAAAAATCAGATTTAGTAATCATGAACACAACAGAAATTAAAATGAAAAGAAAACCCATAAGCAAATGAACTCGGCAGAGAAATTTATGGGGAACAAAGAAATCTGCAACACCACACACACACACATAGCAAAATGACAACAATCAATTTATACTTCTCAGTAATTACACTGAGAAAAAATATATCAAGTTAATGGCAACCAAAACTGAGCAGGAGTGGCAGTTTTAATCGCTGATAAACTAGACTTTTTTCTAAAAATGTTTTATTGTGAATTATGTGATAGTTTACACGGGAAAACATTAGTTTTACATTCATCCTATCGTATATCGTTTCATTGCCATGGGTACAATCCCCTCTATGCATCATCAACCAACCAAAGGGTATATCATACAAGCCT